CAATCCCATTCCATTCCATCCCATCCCATCCCATTCCATCCCATTCAATTCCATTCCATCCCATTCCATCCCATCCCATTCCATCCCATCCCATTCCATTCCATCCCATCCCATCCCATTCCATCCCATCCCATTCCATCCCATCTAGGGGAATCAGAGTTTTTTTGTCACTTTGGCCATTAACACCTGAGGTAAATGCGGGCTTGGTTGGCCACACTGGCTGACTCCGTTCCTTTGCTACTCACCCCCGAATAAGAAGAGACGTCTTCAAAGTATTGGAGCTGAGAGACGTAACGAGTAGAGCTAGAGGCCGGAGCATCAGCTGCCTTGGCTTGTTTCTTACCTTTCCTCTTTTCCTTGATGAGTATGTCATGGCACACCTGATACAAACGAAACAAACTAGGAGATCATCTTGAAGTGTAGGGTAAGACAATCACAACCAACAAACGCCCACATTTTCAAACAAATGAGCAGTTTTGTGAGTATAAAATGAATACTGTATATCGCAATATGAGGAGGTGCAGAAGGAATTCAGCTTGACAAGCTAGACAGTAGGGTTAGGGTTAGGGCGGGCAACTGAATCTGTCTGTCTGCACAAATATCGGTAAATTATACCTTGCACATCCATGTCACCTGCCCAAACATTTGCATTCCTTCTTATTTGAGTAACTCAGCAAACAATGCCTTGTCACTTCAGCCTCATTTCTGTTCCTTCATCTTACATTTCAGTCTACTTGAAGCGTCAGAAAAAGGATTCGGCTACAGCACCGCAAAGGAGCACCAACTGGTCATGCATCAGCATGAGAGAAATGGAGTGAAGCTTGGGCCATGTCCACATTGCTTGGCTTTGGCTTGAAATTACACGAGTCTGCATTAGCGGCTATAGCCAGTCTCCATCAACTTGTGTGTAACTTCAAGCTACTGGTAAATGATTCAGTAAGGCCCCAGATGCCAGTCAACATAATAATGGCTGCAGAAACACCTGTCCTTTTCTATTTTTTACATCAGGTTTGAGGTGAGGCGCACATACACAACTTGATACAAATTGTACGTGACTGGTGGTGTGGGACTGGTACATTTCCTTTGCCATCTCGAAAATCTCTTAATCAAAAAAATAAAAAGTATACAACCTTTCATATCCTCACTCAGGGTCAGCTTACAGTTTAGTTTTAACAAGAATGATGTGTTCACTGGGTAAAGCAGAAATATGCTGTACATGTAAGTTTAAATAGAAAACACAACGTTACTGACCTTTCTGAACCTGAGTTTAAGGTGAGCTATGTCAGATATTGACTGAGAAGCAAATGCCTCATATATGAGAAGATCTTCCTCTACTATGGCCTGTTGAGGGGAAAAAACAACAACAAATTAATGTTAAGAACTGAACTAAACAGCAGTAGTCATTTTAGAAAATGAAGAGATATATTGAAATTGTTGCTTAAGATTTGCTGAACCATACCTATGCATCTGTCAACAGAAACAACAAACAGTCCTAGACCAAGACTTAGATTTGTCCACAATGAGAAATAGCCAATAACATCGCCTACCATCAGGAACGGCCTGCTGTTCTTATTGCCTAGGCCAACCAGCATGATCTCCTTGACAGCCGGCAACATGTCATGCTGCTGTCCCTGCTGATCACTGCAAAGACAAAAATATGTCAATAAATGGAAAAATACTTCACTGGTGCCAAATTCACAAAGAATTCCTGCGCACAGAAAATTGCTTAAGCCTATGAAATGTTTGCTGAACAAAGACAGTTGACCAACCAAGGTGCCACACAGAGAAGATGATTCAAGAGCAGCTCTCAATTAATTTCTGCCAAGTATAACAATTTCGAAGCAGTGCTTCCTGTGTACCAGTAGCATGAGATAGGGTCCTTATACTTAAGATCCAAAAGACTTGACTGAACGGCAGTGAAAGTGGTCATTACTCTCTAAAGTGCCAAATTAAACATTCTATGCAATATTAAGTAAAACACGACAACTTTTTCAGATTTTTTCGAAGTACAGGGCTTGATGAAGATCTAAATTTACAGTGTTGAGAAATATGAAAAAAAGTATGTAAAAACAGCACAATATGGGTGTCTTGCGTGCCCCAAGTGCCCCTCACCCTAGAATGCAAATTTCAAGTAACATGGTTCTTTTCAAGAGTAATTAATACACAAGAGAGAGAGATGTAAATGCTACTACCACAAACATTTTGACACAATTTTGAAAGACAAAGAATACCCAACAGAGGACTACTTCAGAACTGGTTTTCCTTGAGCGCCAGGAACAAAGCTCAAATGTCTGTTTTAATCACTCTGGATATTCAATGTTTGTACATTAAAAGAAAGTATTTGCATCGAATAGGTTCACTTGTGATGTGCATCAGGGCCAGTTTGAAAGTGTAGTGAATTTGACATCACACAACGTTAAAAATAAAAATTCGCTCGAGTTGAAATGCATTTTAATTTTGCAAATCAGAAGAAGAATAGTTTGATCTCGTGTCAAAATTTTGTGTTCCTGATTGTTTTTTGCGGCCAGCATGAATCAGCCGGTACGGAAAGAGAATAATAGACAGGGAAAAACATGACCAGAAGACCTTCCCCTACCTACCCACAAACCCAATTTTTCAATTCTACTCACGTGCTTGCTGTCGTTTGGACGCTGTCCACCAAGACCTTCTGTGCCATGGGAAAGTTTCTGACCAGAAACATAAGGTTGAAATCCGGAAGGCTGTAAATCTAATGGGTTAGATTAATAAAAAATAATCAGTTGTCATTAGAATATCTGTCAGAAGTAACAGTCAATCTAACTGTTACATCCAGATTTGGCAAAGTCTCTCTCAAAACAGCAAGAAATCTCCTCATGAACTAAGAAGTATGAGATCATCCATTTGTCTGCATGACTGTACAAAAACATACGCTGAGGGCAGGAATTAACAGCCCATGGATGCTCTTCATGAACTGGGAAAAGATTTTTTGGCATACTCTTCAGGGATTGGCAGCAGTCAGGGGAAGAGTGTGTTTTAATAGTAAACTCATAAAGCGATTAAAAAAATGGATGCTGCTTATCTTGAAAAAAAATTTAAACCATAAAACACTTATTGTCAGATTCTCCTTAAAGCTCTCGAACGAGCAAATTACTACTATTGAATAATGGAAATCAATGTGAATTAATATTATAAGCCACTGGCTTTCATAAACGCGACCAAATAATGACTTTAAGCATCCCAATTCAAATAAAAATTACGATGCATACAATGAATATGTTGACTTTTTTTCTGTGCATAACTGTGGCATTACGGTGTCTGCTAGAAATATGATGTTCTAAAGTTCGTCAGGGTGAAAACTGGGGGAGGGAGGGTGAAGAGAAAATCTGCTTAACATCCAGTTAATAACGATCATACTGAAATGCTGTGACTTTCCAAGGCTTAAAATATCTGACGAGGCATGAGTTCTGAGGCTAGAATTAGGTGGATCTTGGACCTACTTTTTTCCGAAAAGAAAAAGTAGTGGAAGAAAAACAGTCAAACATTAAAAAAACAAAGAATGTTCAGAAAAAAATGAAACTGGACAAAATCAAAACCTCAGTTTTAAAGCTTAAAGGAATGGGGGCCAGGTAATTTGGTTTCTTCCAAACATACTTCCAGTATTCCATTTTCTCTGCAGACAACCAACCAGAATGTCGGGCTATCGCTGGGTTCTTCAGAAGCAGTTGCTTGGGTGTCATGCCCTGCTGTCTCAGGTTCTGGACTGTAAGAAACAACATTCGATGAAAAGGTTATCCAAGTCTCTCCTCCAAAACACAATACAAGACAATTGCTAGCTTTCATCAGATAAAACCTTTACGGCAACACAGGATATAATTCCACACACAGACACCACTTGAAACCCTGTGCACAAACCCTATAAGACTGGATTGAAAAAAAAAAGGTTTTTTAAGTGAATACCATTTTGACTTTTTCAATATTTTGTTGCTTTCAGATGCCTAATAGGTCACAGAAATACTTTCCCAGAAACGTTTTGTAAGGTTGTGCAGTTAAAACATACAGTTTTAGGATGAACATGGCAAGAAACCAGAAAATTTAAACCATGTTTTCTTCATTGTGAGGGTGATGCATCTGTCATTTTCAACAATGCAACTAAAAATTGGTCAAGATTGCTCCCATGGCTGTTTTCCCCTAGATAGAATATTTGGTTAGTTAGAGTTTGGGAATCAACCTTGAAAAGGATAGCATGTGTCAAGCACACATACCTGAGGTTGGGTTCTGTTTTAACAGGTGGACTGGGAGCAACTTTAGGCTCGGATGATCCATACAGCAACTCATCCTCATCATCGGCACTACTGCAATAACAATATCAATATTCACATGCATATTTAAATTAAAAATAAACAATGCTCACATCCAATTGAAAATTGCCAATAAAAGTAGCATTAAGATGAAAAATTCTGAAAGCAGGTGAACTGAACAAAATGGCAAGTACATGCAATTTGACCAATGATTAGCATCTTCATGTTTAACAAATCTTCATGTTTAACAAATGAGCAACCAGGAAAGGAGGAAAAATAAACTGAAACAAACTCAGTATTGATTACTACATTTTCTTTTGCAATACAGCATGTACTTTGATGAATTTATAATGACAGAGGTACATTTTAATTCAAAAATACATTTGCAAATAAATGATATGAAATAAAATGTTTAGTCAGATACCTGGTATCCATGGCCATTGCTTCAGCCTGTGATGTGCTCAGGGTACGGGATTTCCTCTCTGCCGTGGGCTGCTCAACAGTGCTTTGTTTCTTGATCGTTGTGGTAAACATGTCACTGGTGTCTTTGTAGGTGCATAGGGTCAGGATTCGATTTTTCTGAAGAACCAGAAACAATAGAAATAAACTATGGAAATCTTTCAAATAAAAAGTATTCAATGCTGTTTGTCGTTTACATCATGCATGAGTGGATTGAAAAAGAATAAATCTTGGATCATGTTTCATATAACTCCTGTAATAAATACATGTATTTGATCAAACCGAGGGTCAGGTATTTGACTACTGAAGTATGTGAACTGATTTAGCCCTAGTAGGCCCCCTAATAAGCAACTAGCAACTAAACGGTTGCAGCTGGTTCCCACAGATGTTTGGCTTACTCCCAGCCCCACACCGGTTAGGGCCGGCGACCATTTAGACCTGGTTTGAAAAGGGCCCCCCGGTAAGCTCACCCTGTTGCAAAAACCCTTTCATACTGGCCTGGCTACCGGCCTGGGATGCTGGACTGGTTGTTGATCTCGAACTTCTCCATCCTGGGGTCTATTGTTTGCAAGTACTGGTACATGTAATTTATCCAAGAAGGAACGTGCTTGTGGTTTTTAATCCTTCAGCTCTATACAATGTTTACACTAATCCGCTTAGACCCCTATTCATCTGTGGAATCATGGTGGGGGAAGCCTTTCATCAGGGACTTTGAAATGCTGATGTGCAGACAGGCCTGATACCAGCCTGGAGTAGCCTGAATACCAGGCAGACGTTATACAGGCTGGGCTACCGGGGGGCCTTTTCAAACCAGGTCTAAATGGTCGTCCACCCTTAGATCTCGGCCACACCAACCTGTGGAAGTTGTGGCTTGGTCAGGCTGAGGCGATGTCCCGAGCCGTACAGGTCAGCCTTGAGGGTCAGCAGCATGACGTCCCCTCTCTCGGTCATGACCACCAGGTAGGGGTCACTCAGGGAGCAGAGGATGATATCAGACTCCAAGTCTAGTGGGATATGCTGCAGCTGGTTCACTAGATGGGAACCAAGGAAATCAGTTCAATTATTTTGCAAGGAACAATGCTCGGCACAACTTCTTGGGACAGGAAGGCTACAATAAAAAAAAAACACAGCTGACTCTCAGTTTAACAAGCTGGCTGGGAACAGCCAAATTACCTTGCTATAAGAAAAACAAAAATGAATTTGAGAGATTAGGGCCCTCATAATTCACTCTTTATGACAGTATTTTGGTATAACTGTGCTAATTTGTATCAACTCTGTTGAGAGTATTTCAATATCAGTTCATTGGTGCTTTTTTAAAATCATTTTTGTGCACTAGTAAGTTTTCTACAAAAAAGAAGACTGCAAATTAATGAATGCAAATCTTAAGTAAAATTACACTCAGCTCCAACCAAGAAGTGTGCAGCTTTCTACATAAAATTGAAAGTTCTTCCAGAACTAGTTTTGGGTATGAAAGCTTTTAGATTACATTTATCATACTCCAGAAGTAAAATTGTCTGCTCTGTTATTCCTACCCTGAACACATCAGAAAAGTTCGTTTTTTTGTCCAGATTATTAAGCACCAAGGTCAATAATGAATTGTTACCTCCCTCCAGTAGTCTGACACTGGATGGCGACACCTGGACAATGTATCTATTGTCACCCATGTTGCCAGCAAACACTGTGGGAGTCTGGGTACTAAACCCACTGTGGTCAAGTTCTGTTATCTCCTGTCCTGTCTGTAGAACCTGGAAGATAGTTATCATCAAGAACAAGATATTAAAAAAACCTTTCTAGTATTTAAGGGGTTTCAACAAGTCTACGTCCTTGTTATTGACATCTACAAGAGTTGAATCGCCAGGGAACCAGTTTTAATGATAAGCAGTATGTGTTATTCTGGCTAGTGCCCTTGACCTTACCCTGCCAGATGCAGCAAAGTGCAGAAGGTGTCAAAATCTGGTTCATTTCATTGCACTGGACTTTCAAAAGTGGTGAAACTGCCCAAATTGAGAGAAGGTTTTCAGCGCCGTGATTGAGCCAATCACAAGCCCCTGCAAGATACTCAACCCGAATGTGACAAAAGAATTCCTTTGTCATCATTAACCACTTCTTGCCGGGGATTCCGGATCCGGACACGTATGCTTTAAATGCGTGGCCAGGGTCTCTGAACACGGACAAAGGGAACAGGGCCTTGTAACAAAAGACCGTACTCGGAACAAATGTCCAGGCTGCTGGGAACTACCAAAATTTTTTCACTCTCAAAAGTGGAGATAATCCAGCCTTGTTTTGAAGCAGTATACCACGGTTTGGGACATTTAGAGGGAACAGATTACCACCGGGGACAAAAGCGCTCCACCACTGCAGCAGTGAGCCACACAGCACAGCTGCATGATAATCTGGGCCCAATTGAAAAGAGGTCAGCTGCACACTGAGCCTGGTTCGTGATCAAAAGAAAGTTATATAACTTTCTGCTAAATCTGGGCTCTTTTTAAAAGGCTGCATGCCTGGCTGAAATACTCAGGCGTCAATAGATTTTGTCTGTCAGGCTAGAGTGGACACCAGACAGTCCTTCACGTGTTTGTAAGTGTCCAGTAAATGAAGATAGGAATTTTTAAAAAATTTTGAAAACAGAAAAAAATGATAAATATCCCTGCCCAGCATCATCAACATTGATAACTGCCCCGGCAGGAAGTGGTTAACCCTGTTACTAGTGATCGGTCTAGTAAAAGGAGTTGTTATGGCTTTGACTACAACATTGCTCCTTTCTACCAACCATGCTGGAGTCTTCTCGGCTTAGGATCAGGAAGGCATGAGTGTCGGTCAGGTCCTCCCCTGCCTTGTTTCCTGATTTCTTCTCGCCCTCTGCACCCTCCTGTTGCCCGTCATCTTCACCTTCCTCCTTCTCCTCCTTCTTCACATCCTCCCTGATGCCATCCTTGGAGGTCTAGGTCAAAGGTCACAAAAGAATATACTAACCACAGAGTGCAAATATTATCTCCTTTTCGTGTAGTAAACTTGCTGCCCAAAATGATTCATGGGCATTCTATTTTTCCCTGGGGAATGCGGGGGGGGCAGGGGAATATTTATTTTCCTTCAATGTTTCCTTCATAACTTGCTTCAAGGTACTTATATTAGGAAATTCAACATATGTTATGACAACTGGTTGGAAATTTTATTGAAGCTATGGCTTAATTTGGGTCCTATTCTTGACCTTTTTGCCCTTAAAACATATTTTCCTTCCAGTTAAAAGTACCTACTCAATGTCCAAAGTTTCCACTGCAATGTACTTTCAAAGACACTTGTCCCAGTTCCATAAACAAGTGTACTTAGAAAAAACTGCATAGGTTGAACCCTTTAAGAAACATGCACCCTCTTCAACAGAGCATGCGACTTACCCTAAGAGGATGCTACTAAGATGAGCAAGTGAAAAACATGGAAGTGGACAACATATCACTAAACAATTACTAACCTTATATCGATCTACAATGAGTTCATTCACTTTACCTCTGCCTTCTTATGAATGACTGTCCACATATCCACACAGCCAGGTAGTTCAAAGGTAGTCACAACTTGTGGCCTGATCGTCCTCTGTCAGGAAAAGAAACAGGTCATATTCAAATTAAAATTAGCTACATGTACAACTAAAAGCCCTGTGATGACAACGAGTGCAAAGTTGGCTTTGACACATCACCCCAAGTTGGCTATAAAAACGAATAGCCCAAAGATGGCTAGATACATAGCCCTATTAATATGATGGAGAGAGTACCAAGTTGCATTCCAGAAGCCAGGTGGAGGCCTGTACCAACCTCAAGTGATAAGTACATTTGTACATATTTGAAATCAAGAAATAAAGATTTGAGTCTAACATAAATGTGACAACTCTCTCAGAGCTCTAGCTTTGACAGTTTGCTAAAAACAATACATTTTATCACTATTCTGTCCTAAAACAATGATATTCTACGGCCTAATTGTTTGAATTACTTTGTCCTGGAGGGCTCAGCAATTAAGGAAGGGGTCTTGAAGGGTTCAATACAGGACTGTTTATAGGATTTTCCCCAAAGGATCATTATCTCTGTTAATACCTGTAACACTGAGAGAGCTCCATTTTTGCCATAACCTGAACAAGTCACTAACTCCAGATCAGGGTCCAAGCTGTTCTGGAACTGTAAGGAAACCCATACAGGTGTAAGTAAAACAAAATCCATCCAACAGAAGGAACGTTAAAATGCCAAAAACGGTCAAACACTGTGCATTAAAGCATTCATTCTCAGCTCTACTTCCTTATATTGCTTGCTGTATGGACTTGGAGTTTTGGTTTGCAATTGAGATGCATCATTAATATGGCATTAAAACAAAATCACAGGACTGTGCATACTCCTTATTGTAATATGAACCAGTTAGGTTAATATTCAATTTTTTGCGGTAACTTTAGGCTTCTTTGCTCCAGATATAACACATTCCTCTGAATGTGCCTTTTGTTGTGGTAATGAAGACAGGCTTAGGGTTGCAAACAGGATGAGGAAGTTACTGATAAGAGATACTACAATAAGAGAGGTTGCTTTAGCAGGGCTGACTGCAATGATTTTCGAGAGTGTTTGTGTATTTTGGGTAGGCTTTCACCAGGTTAAGGGGTCAATTTCTTTTATTAGGCAAATTTAGACCAAGTTGGCACCATGGGTCTGAAACATTATACTCTTATTGTCAAGACGTACATCAGGGAGATGTTAATTTTTTAATTAAAACAATTAAAATCTCCCCAAGCTAAAACATTGGCCAGTGGATAGCCAATACACGGGCAGAATCTGCCCCCACCCGAATGTGAGGTCAGACAAAACTCAACCTTCTTAGGGTTAAAAAGCAACATCTAACAAGGGCCACATGGCCACGGGGAGATGTCATTGGTGTTTCTCTGCTTAACATGTACCTCATCGGAGAGAAATGCAGGCTCGCCCATTGTCATGTTGCCGCAGGGGCCAATGTTTATCACGCTGTCACACACCTTAGGAAAACGACAAAAAATGTTTTCAAGCATTTACTGAATTCTAAGTTTTTGATTTTGGTAGCATCTGCTTCTGGAATGCCTCACAATTTGGATTTTGAATTTGAAACAATTCGTCACAAAAACACAACACTAGAAATCAGCCACTTATGAGTGGATCTGGCAGACAACTCCAATCCCATATGGCGATCCTGTCTTCATGCCACTTATACTAATTGACAGACATACCATTATTTAAGTTACTTAAAAAAATACTGCACAGCTCCAGTTTAAGAACATCAGCAGAATTTTCCCGTTAAAATTTACCTAATGGATATAAATCTACCATTGTTTGCACCTAAAAGGTTATGACCTTTAACCAACCTCAAACGAATATGTGATGACACTAGAGCTCGTACTCTGCATAGTGTCCTTGCCGTAGACCTCCAACTCCTCTGGGTCTTCCAACAGTGACACATCGCTTGCTGAAAAGTGCCAGGACACAAGGAAGGTGTTAAATGTAGATACTATTTGTTTTGTAAGTATTTGTGAGGCTTATCTAACAGACCTGGGTACTTTAACTATGCTTTCATACTTCAGTTCTCTGTATCACTGCCAAAAGCTGAACACAACTTTAAAGCCAAAACCAGTGTGTGTGGTTGGGTTTGTGGCATATAAGTAATTTCTTACGCAAAGAGAAAAAAATAGACAAACTTTACCCTGTCAAATATATACGGACATTTTTAAAGCGTAACAAAAATTAAACCCATGGTGCACTGCACTGCAATGATTCGGATTTTCATTTTTCTAAAGTTTAAAATAATTGATACAGATATTTTGACTTGTTGACATTATCAACTTGTCTGTTGAGGGAGACACCCATCATGGCTCCAGGTAGACTTTATAAAAGCCCTATGACTTGACTTGGGAAAGACTGACTTGCAATTTGACTTGACTTGACTTGGGGAAAAATTGACTTGTGACTGAAACTTGCAGGAAAGGTGGCTTATGACTTCACGTGACAAAGGATGAATTAGTTCATGTAGTTACAAAACTGTCAAGGTGGAAAAATCCTAAAGTCTCTCACCCATCCAATCACTGGCATCATCGCTACGGATCTTCTTTGCTGGAGGACCATCCTACATATACGAGAGATATGGATTACAATCTTCAGGCAGTTATGCTGTCTAATACAGACAACAGAATCAAAACAGAAAGATTTCATTTAACTTCAATATTAACACACAGACCCTACTCTGAATTCCACTTCCATCTCAAATTTCTCTGATTCAAATCCTAACCAAATGCCTCGAGGCTCAACTTGTCACCCACAACTGCTCTGCTTGGTTTCAATGGGGTTTCACCTCCAAAACTAAATCAGACCTTATATTCATTGTTTCATCTGAAGAGACTTCTGGCTGGACAAAGTCTTTGTCTTAAAACACTGACTGCTGAATGTGAGACGATTTGCACATGCAGTAATGGGTTTACAGAATTTGCCATTAAGGGTATATTTGTAGTAAATGAATGAGTTTTGAGTTGCACTTAAGACTGCACAGGTAATGCTGCAAGCCTTAGAAATAATTACCCCATCAGAGAACGACACATTTTGTTATGGCTGTGCTCAATCTCACACAGATTATTTATTGTAGTAATCATTAAAATAACACCAGAAATATGACAGGTGAAAAAGTTAGTTCACTGACAGATGAATTTCATGCAAAATGGACGACAAATTCAAGAAAGGTACAATACAATATTACTGTTTTTTAAAAGTCTGCATCACCACCAAGGTACCAATATGAGCTATACCCTGGTAATCTTGTAGCGGATAACTTGTGGCTGGCATAACAAAACTGTCCACTCCATGCCACTACCAGGCTTTGAGTTATCTTACAGTCAACTGTGTAGGAACACATACATGTACATGTAATTTGGTGCTGGTGTAATGGAACAGTGAACTCCATGCTGCTTCCAGTGATGAGTTATCCTATGTCAGGCATGCAACTTGGATTTTGGCAAAAAAAGGAGGAAATTCCAATCTTTACAAGACTGTTTAGAGTGCATTTCAAGGGCATGAAGTTGCATGCCTGCTGTGTAAGTGTTGCACTTGTCATAAACCATTCAGAGAAATGAACGTACATGTATCATGACCTCAACAGAATTCAGAACAACCTACAACAGAAAATGCGCACTTGCATACTTGGCAAAGACAGCACACTCTACATTGTGTTGTTGACAGTCAACGTGTTAATGACATTAGCAAATACAAAGAGACAGCAACGCAGTGAGGACATTGAGCCATTCTTGCCTAATATACATCAGCATATGTCCTCAAATTTGTAGAAATACCTTAGTGCTAAACTCGAAATCCACAAACCACCTTCGCTTATCGGGAACACATCAATACCATCAATGGTCCTAAACATCTGAATTCTCAATGTTTTGAAAGAAAAAAAATTAACTTGTTTTACCTCTTTTCTTTCCTCTTCTTTTTCTTTTTTCAGGACATCTGTAAAAAGAGAAATGGGAAGTGAAATTTACAAATCATTCAAAATACAGTTTTACATTAACTTCATAACCGAGCGGCACTTTTAGCAAAAAAAACAATGTTATACAAAAAGATTTATTTCTCTACAGTTGGGAACATATCCGATACTTTACCTGAATTAATACCATCTGTTGCCTTCTCTGTATACTTCAACAAGAGCGAGTTGCCAAGGCGAGAGCCAAGAAATAAGAAGCCCTCATCCAAGGCACAAATCTGAAAAAGGGAAAAACCACTTGGGGTTTTTAATACAACCCAGGCATGGTAATAATCATGACCCCCCCACAAAAATCAAAGCAATGCAGTCCAAATTCTTATTTTTCCTATTAAGGCTCACTGAATCAGAGGATAAGAGTTGACAGCATGCTTAAATTCTACTTTAGAGCTATATTCAAAATGCTTTAATGCTTCTGAAAGGAATACATGCATTAACTGCAACAAAAACGTCCCCAAATATGGACATTGAAAGCCACATAGCCTACAGGTAGTGTGAGGTAATACCTATTCCATAATCAATGTTGCACATGTTCTATACACGTATCAGGAAGATGAAGCACATTGTTAAGAAGTATCATGTTCTAAGGACAATAACACAGCTCACAAGGAAAACTTCCACATACATGCCATGTCCAAACATGAAGAAGCAATACAAGTAAACAGGCTACTTGGAAACAGTAAGTGACACATGTTTCATTCGAATTTGGAAGACAAAGAGAAATCCACAAAACATTCAGTGCGGGTATGTAACAATTGGTGGCATCTCTAGGTTTGAGTCGTGAGGGGACGGTAGGAAGCATGAAACATGTTCTTTTTCCAAAATGATCTTTTTTTTCTCTGTCAAAAAATCCTAACCCCAAACTAGTTGATACTATTTCTCAAGTATTCACGCCTTTACTTCCGATTAAAAAAAACCAGCCGCTTGTCTCTACTTGGCAACTTGCCCACCTCATCTCAGCCCCTCCCAACGGGACACCTCACTGGATAACAATAAAGTACAGTAACTTTGCAGGGCTTTTATTGGTCAGAGGCAAGAAATCTCTCCCAGATGGTACATAATTATGGTAACCTCCAGTTCAGTTTTTCGGGGTACAACGTGCATAAAAAGTACCAAACCTGAGAGCTAAAATTTAAAGTAAAATCCTCAATTTCTAAGGTTAAAAATCCTGAAATCCAGACTAATCCTGAGAAATCACGCCAGTTTTGGACAGGTCTACTTACAGAGCATGTGAGAACACTGGCTGCCGCCTTGTCAAAGTGAAACCCTCGCACACTCCGCATGCAGTCAATCAGCAAAGTCAGAACATAGCTGCAAATTGAGAAACCAATTGGCTTTGCATGTATTTTCAGAGAGCAAATTACCCGTCTTAGACAGCAAGTGCAACAAAAGCCATCCAGTCAAATTTCAAGCTATTCAAATGAATACCGACAACTGCGTTCTTGTGTTATTATTCACTCTGTTGGTTGATGCTGTGGCTGGTCTTACGAACAGACTTGCAACTGGACACATGAACATGACGAAAGGACTTGTGATAACATTTCAAAAAACTACGATTGTTTTTCATTGTCTTGCTGGCAATTAGGATGGCCATATTTCAATTGAAAAACCAAGGTCTGAAATGCATTGATGGTATTTCTCTGTAAAGGCCAGTTCATACTACAGGCGAGTGTGAAAGTGAAGTGTATTTGACGTCACAAAAGATTTGCAGCAAACTTTCACTTGAGCAAGTTGAAACTTGTTTAACTTTTGCGAACAGCAGTGAAATACTTCATCTGACATCACAAATTTGTGTTTGTGATCGCTTTGGCGCCAAATATGAACTGGCATTGGGTCTAGTTGATTTTTCATTTACTCTTCCACTTTTTTTGTTTACTGTTGTGATTTGCGGTCTTGTTTGGGCATGAGATAGATCCGTGCCTGGCATTACTGGTATTTGAGGAGTCAGGCTGGTGTAGTGGCTCTTTCCTGCCTTCCACCTCTGCGACCCAGGTTCAAATCCCTTTTAGGCAAGCATCTGGATTGGGTTTTCAGTTCCTACCTGATTTTGTGGGTGTCCCCAGAAAATTTACTGGCTTTTCCTCCCACCTGTAAAACTGAACATTTCTTCAAGGTCCTCTTAATTATCACTTAATCCTGTAATTGGTAATATTGCACTGTTGGATGAACAAACTCACAAACTAAGCTCGTGATATCATTTATTCAATCAGGTTCAAGCCATTCTGGTTGATATTCTGGACCAGTTAATCTTTACTTGTAAAACAGGGTTTTGTTTTCTTATTTAGATGTAGCTCTTGGGGAATCTCTTGTGACTTACATTTCTCCTCCTTTGAGTGACAGCACCAGTTTGTCGTAGGAAATGAAAGTGGCTTGAGCACAGTCTAAGCCAATGCAAACACCCTCCTGAGGCCCTGGTGGACAAAAGAAGAAACAACATCTCAAGGAAAAGTAACAAATGATGACGTACACGTAGGTAGAGCAAAAGACTTGCTGTGAAACAAGATGATGTTTGCCAATTATCAATTTTGTCTCTTAATACCAGAGTTCATGTGAAGTCACAGCATTTTTTCAGTCAGTGCATTGGAGAATGTGTCTATACAATCTAGCAGCATGTACCTTCATATAGCAACATATGTACTTAGAAGTGCTTTTGACTTTGCAGATAACGTTGTTATGTACAACAGGAACCTAGCATTATCAGCAATGACAAACAATGAAAACCAAAGGCTTGGGACCTCAAAAGCAGATTAATGTATCAACAGTGCTCTTATTAAAGAAGTTCAACTGTACATTGCATATGTGACCTGCTCTGCAAAAAAAGGTAATAAGTCGCGCAATTCCAAAGTATGCTATGGCCTGTTCTAATTGGAGAGGGCAAAATGTCTTCAAAAATGTGATTTTGTGTTTTTTCCTCTATTAACTCTATTAACATTTATGTTTTCAGAATTTGTGGCTACAAACATGGATACTGATGAATAAAGATGAAAAATTGATCAGTAGGAAATCCTACATAGCATTGTGTTTCCAAGTGATACACTTTCTTAGCTTTTTCTCAAAAAGTGCTTTTATTGAATCAGAAAACGTGGATATACAAATGTTTAAATATCTCTGGAACGCTGTGCACTACAGGAGTCATTCATAAATCAAATTGCAGCTTTTTAGTATCTCAATCCAGCCATATCAAAAACTGATAACCTGAATCTGGCGACTTATTACCCATTTTTCTAGAGCCGGTCACATATATTCACAGCGGCAGGTGATGGGTCAAACTTCCTATTTGCTTTTCCAGATATTTACATTTGTGGAGATGTATACAGTGTTGAACTTAAACTCCAAATATCCCTCACAGCAAGGGAATCAGAGTGTAGCAAACAATGCAGTTGCATTCACAAGTGCTGCAGAAATATTGTAACAATGATTCTCAAGTGCTTGTGTTTCCCTTTGGTGTTTTTCAACCAAGATAATCCTGTAGCTTGGGACTAACCCATTGTAAAAACAAAAATCACTGCATGTTGAAGGCCGATGTAAAAGACTTACTTAAAGGAAAGGCAGTACTGCGTTCAGTGATGGAGTTTACAGACACTCCATACGGTGGAATGCTCTGATTGAGATAGAGCAAGGAGTTGACAGCCAAGACTAACACGCCCCCTAGAAAAGTCAAACATATGATATGCCATGAGAGAAACAGGTACCGGGCTCACTAGAAAGGAGATAATGGTAGTACATCCAGGGTTTCATCAGGAACAGGCACTTATAACAGCAACAACAGCCGATGATGAGGAGTAGGTAAACACATTACATGCATGTAGTTAACCAGTGTTTCAGGGTGCACTTTAAAAGATATGATTTAGGAAGGTACAGTGTTCAATACTAATTGTAAAAGCCTAACCCTAACTCCACAGGCATTCTTGCCAGAGCATTCCTGAAGCTTCTAGAATCATCCACACTGCAGGGAACATGTCATGCTCGGGTACATGTACGTCCTCCAAATCACTTCAATATTCACTTTTTCATGACTGCCTAGTGCTATGTTGTAGAAACAAGACTACACGTGCAGTATTGGACAGGCAGCTCTGTAACCTTCACTAGCAGTGGACAGGCAGATAGATGAAGCCCTAGAGCACAGGTGGATGTATTAGTTCCCAGATTTTGAGGAATCAGTTACAGGTATTAAAAGTAATCATCGTTTGTCAAACTTACCAATTGGCTTGGGCACCGCACAGGCTTGTGCGCAATCATACGGCAGACTGTTCAGTGCCCAGATGACAGGATGGACTCGCTGGGCAAGGTTCAATGACAGCGCTACCATGGAACAAGTGTCATGCCTCATGGCTATGCGACTGTAAAATCAATCACATATATGATACAATTTCAAATTGTGAGCATCAATTCCAAAGTACTATTTACTAAAGTGCATGTAATTTTTCAAATTATCTATTACCCCAGGTGTTCTTTTATATCATTTGCAAGTAAAAGAAAACTGAAATTTTCCCTTGACAAGATAAGGCCAAAGGAACAAGTAGCTGTTTCCAGTAACAACACCGAAAAATTAACTGGCGGGAGATAAATTCATTTTGGTAAATATCTGGATTCTCATACTATAATATCAATTCAGCAGATCCAATTGCTACATTGGATAAACACAAACATACCCCATACCAAATATTGCCCCCTGCAGAGCAATGCTGACGTCTACTCCACAAAGCCACAAGACTTGGTCCATGAGGTTATTGCTTACCCAGGCCACGTTCGCAGCGGCTCGTACAGCAGCAGAAGTGTGGGTTCGTAGTAGCCATGAAGGAACTGAATATCGATAACATTCAGGACGCGCTCCTCCAATTCCGACAGATTGATGACATAGCTTGGCATTACTGCAGATCTGTTGAAAGGAAGAAAGAACATTCCAAATTACAATGCGTCATGAATTTAGAGATGTATGTCTTTACAAAATAGTTTAATATCAGGGTTGCAATTCAGTCAGGTTTGAGTCACACCATAAAAACGAGTGACACCATCAGGTAGGAAGTCCTGAAGCAAACTTGACAAACAATCACTAAGCAATCCCTATTTGCTTGTTTATTTGAATACGTAGTTTCAAACTCGATTGCAGGCTGAACGACTGCAATTGACAAGTGATGACTTTGAACGAATTTCAACAACCTGCTCAGAATGCTGGACCCGGGGAAAAATACATGTACATAACATAACCTCACAAGTGTACATGTATACATGTACCGTACACCATAAAAAAGGCATACTATACCAACACTGTCAGAAATAAATGCTCCAAAAGAATTCATGTTTGTGTTAGGCTGTACAAAATATTTCCATGGTCAAATATTTCAACAATTACTCATTTCTCATTTTTATTTCCTTTGAAATTGGAATGACGAGTCAGCACTCTCATAAATTAATATTACTCTATGGTTGCGAGACAAAGGAATCAAGGTAGCTCATGTAGGTACACATCAATAACGCAGACTCCGTCCCAGAACAAGGAAATAGACCTTGACTTCAAGACATTTATAGAGAAGTGAAGTGAATACGTCAAGTGCACAATTAGTGTGTAAAAGGCATGAGCGCGTGAACCAGCGAGAGAACCAACACGCGCGCGTACTCCATTCGTTTGCACTACACTTTCTGGTTCAAAGTGACGTCACACTTTGGTACTCAATAGATGTGCAACATACATTTTACATGTTGAAATGAATGACAAACTCACACTCACTGACAGGAGCCACAAGTGAGGACATGTTATTATGTATACTGTGCAGGCATGTGGATAAAATTATATTCAATACATTCTTTTGTCTACACTAAGTTTTGTTCACTAAGTGTCATCCTATGGGTAGCATAGAGATATTCACTCCAATGGTTATTCAAACGTTCAAATACTACATTCAAACACTGCTTACTTCTTTGAAGCTTGCTCAGTGTCCTCTACCAACCCTTCTCCTCTGTGGAATGGTAGGATCACTAGCTTGGATCCATAGACAAGCATGACAGCACAACGATTCTCGGGGTCAACACGAATATAGGGGATGTGGATATTACGGTACAATCCATCCTTAATTATAAAAAAGGAAGAACATCTTTCAGTTGAACGTCAAGCATGATGGATGCTACAATTTTTTTTCCCGTCTGCCATAGTGGGAGGTGGGAGGCACACAATCACCAAATTTGCAACTGACCATCCACAACAAGTGCACATGTCAGGAAGACTCAGATGTCTCAAGGTAGGCACACAAATGGTATGGAACACAGGACACCGTTATTGAATATTCCATGGTCTGAACTAGATGTTATCATTAGAGTAAAAGTGAACAATTGTGTAAGCAATATAAAAATTCAGGTAGCCTCTACAGTTTACAAAGTGCAAGTTGAAGCTCATTAAGCATAACCCTAATCCTTCCAGGAAAAACTAGCAGTAATACGTAAACAGTCTGTGGGATTTTGTTGCATTAAGCAATCAACAAGTGCAGCACAAAACTGTGTTGAAGGGATGGAGCAGTCCCCATGGATACTCTCACTGCTGAGTCTTGTAGGGACCAGCAAGATCTGATTCTAAAGTGGTTTCGCCTCGGGGATAGTTGGCCAGTTGATCTTACTTGTTCTTCATGCTACTGGGATTTGCATGGCTGCCCTCTTGTAGGCCAGTGCTTTTGTTTCACAGGGCATGCAAATCGGATGTTTCCCAGTGGAGCAAAAGAACCGTCCGGCAAGATTGGCTACTCACAAAGCCTCTATACACTCAAAACCTTTTGGCTTGATTCTATACACTTACCTTCAGTTCTTCATCTTCGAAGTAATGCATGGACAAAGTCTTCAGGTCATGAGTGCTGGGGTCATATTCAACAATTGACAACTGAAACAAACAAAAAATGAACAACAACATTTTTAATCATCAAAGTTAATCAATCACATCATCCACGTCAGTCACCTCATCAATCAAGTTAATCAACCAATCAAATCAATCAATCAACTAATTTGTTGTTTTCTAATTCTATCAAACTCTTATTCCAAATCAAAAGCACAATTGCAAGTGTGAAGCAGTCACCGTTGGTGACGAACTTCAACAAAACGACTAATTACCATGTACATGTACATGTACATAGTGTTCAGTGTCTTGCATAACTGCTGATATTGAAAATCAGAAATCAGAGCACCCATTTTACGAGCCCATGGATAGCAAAAAAAACAGCTATTCAAGATAACCTATTAACATGTACCTGCTTATGTGCCTTACAACAACTGCTATTTGGAGCCTTGGATAAGTGGACATACATGTAATGAAAAAATTTGCACTAGAAACAAAGTTGCATGCAAAAGAAGATGCAACTTCACCCGCTAGTCAGACAGCTACCTCTTTTTTTCTGCAAAGAGCACCGTTTTCCTCAAATAAAGCAATCTTTTGCAGGATGTTTTTTGAATCAATGTTTTCCCTTTTCTCATGGTACTTAGAAATTGGGGAAATTTAGGTTAAATCAGAACAGGTGGTACTGTAGGTATGGTCTTGAAAACATTACATTCTCTCACCAACCTTAGCATCTTTGAAGCTCAGCAGGAGTGCGTCTCGGCCATTGCCTGACAATGGTGCTGTCTGCAGTGACATCACATTGCCATGGAGAGAGAAGCTCATCAGGTGCTCTAGTTTGTCTCGCTTTGGCTTGATAGCGATGCCATCTGGTCAGTTCAAAATGTATCAATCATTAACTGATAATCAATGGCAATGCTCTGTGAAAAGGAGGGCATGATTTGCCCTCGTTTTAATTAAAATGAAGAGATGAATATTCCAACGCTATCTTAGGATGAGGGTCAAAAATTTTAACCAGTCTTACCTGAGCTTTTCTCAGCCACTTTAGCTGTTGTCTGAAATGAAACAAAACATGCACACTTAGCGGGAAAAAAAATTGTTTTTAGTTTCGAGTATTTCGGTGGGTATATCTGATTTCATATCACTTTTTCACTCATCCTTTCATGAATCATTTGCAGCAACTGCTGAAAGTGAAACCAAATTATTTCACTTCATGTCATACATGTAGGCATACATAAAAGACGTGGCTTCAGCTGCCTACAGCCTCAAAATCAACTGGGAGGTTTGGGAACATTTTGCAGGAGAGAGGAGGCTTACGCCCCGACACAATTAGTTTACATGCAACTTGATACACCTGGAGAGCTTATAAGGAATCACTGACAAGACGGCTGTCTAGAAAGATTCTTACACAAATTCAAGGAGGTGTTTAGCAAAAGCGGCCCGACGTGAACATAAAATTTACAACAATTATTGCAGAATTAGACGTGAAGTAAAAAGAGCATTCGCACCTCAACATCATTTAGAAGTCTGTAGACGGTGAGCTCAGATGCTTGAGCAACAACCAGGCTCCGTTCGCCAGCTGAGAAGAAATTACAATATGCACTGTGCTCCACCCCGGTGGGTGGTTGGATCTGTTTGTGGAAGGCGTACATCGTGACTTGTGGAGGGAGAACGAAACACAGTGGTGTCCAGCTCAATCGGTATGCAAGAAATCAGTGGATTTTCTGGTTTAAACGAATGACCAAACAAAAAAAGGATCAGCAAACCAATGTAGTATTCTGGTCCCTTTTATGAAATGAAATACACATTTATGATTACATACATCTCAGTGATCATGCTGCACTTGATACATGTACATGTACATGGGCTAGTCACTAACAGTCGGATCGCAATTCTGGTTGGTACTGTGACCAGTCAAATTCAATTGACAGACATAAGCTGGGCAACTGGCGCCCTACACAAAGCTGGCTTTTCAATCACTGACAGAGTACAACTATATCAAACTAAATTAACAAGGCCAGTCAATTCTGCCTTACATGCAAGTAGACAGAGGGCTCTGAACAACTGAAAACAGTCACTTGATTAGTTTTGGCTGATGGGACAATTTCTTCCAGAATGGATGTTTGCACACTTGTACTGGTATTAAGTGTCAAAAAATTACAAGGATGTTAAAAATTAAATTTACTACTGAAAAAAAGTACATATATTAAATTTAGTTTTGAAAAGAACCACAGAAAAAAATGGGTACATACATGTATAAATTGGCTGCCCATATTGGCTGCCCATATCATATGCGGGGGGGGGGGGAATGGGAATAAACCTGATCATGGTGACAGGTTGTGGTGACCAGCTGAAGACAAAAAAAAAGTACAGGTATGCTACGAGCCCAATATTGTGCAAAGACTAAGCAATCACGCATATTGACAAACACACTAGCCAAAGCTCAGGGGAATGACAGGGCAAGATCATGAACATGAATGATCAGTGATGATGAAGTACCCCCAAAACTGTGGGGTTCAACGTCCGCTTCGCTCCCACGAACCCCAAAGAAAATTAGCCTTTTTCGCCATAGGTTCTACATGGCATTTAACATGGCACGAAAAGGAATTCTGTTCTAGTTCTAGTTCTGATATCCCCCAAGATTTCTATGTATGGTAGCTTACATATTTTGTTCTGGGTACAAAGAAAAAAAATGGGTCAAAACCATGCCGTTTTCAAAAAAAAGGTGCAAACATTTACTGATCAGTGTCCAAGAGACATTGCGATTCACATGTGTACTTGCAAAGACAAGCTGCGACCAAATGGTTGACTACCGCTGCGATCGACACACAAAACATGGAAATTGGCTGCAACTGCTTTCCGTACGCGTGTGGGTAATTCCTAGCTGCGTTAGTTGAAATGGTGGTTGCCTGCAGCGCGCTGGGGGTCACACTGACCAAATCACAGGGCTCCTCATTATTTATGCCTGAACAGTAGGCATGAAAAGCAACAGCCGTTGGGTGCGTACATGGGCGCGCTGTCGCACTGTGAACACTTTGCTGTTGAGGCCATACGTGGATGCGGACAAAGATCACTGCCTGTCTGCATCCATGTGCAGCCTCAACAGAAAGTGTTCACCGTGCGACAGTGTGATGTGGTACCCAAGGGTTGTTGCCAACAACTGCGATGCAGCCAACTTCCATTTTAACCATTCAGTCCAGTCATTGCTAAGAATATGCCTACATGCACACATAGGGAAAGCGGCTGCAGCCAATTTCCATGTCCTGTTTTGCACCAAATATTTGCACCTTTTTAAAAAAATGGCATGGTTTTAGCTAATTTATTTCTTGGTACTCAGAACAGAGGGATTTAAGCGAAGCCTAATAGGCCTACATAGAAATTTTGGGAGACATGAAGCTGCATTTACCTGTTTACCTATGGGCATGATGGGTAGGCCTACATGTTCGTGCCGTGTTAAACGTCATAGGCCTAGAGCCTATGGCGAAAAAAGGGTTCATTTTCTGTGGGGTTCATGGGAGCGGATAGGCCCCCACAGTTTTGGGGGTAATGACGAAGATGATCATTTCAATATGCCTAGCAAGCATGCCTACATGTACATTGTAGCCTACAATGTACATGTAGGCCTACATGTACATGTACGTGTAAGTTAAATTGACCATAGGCCCTAGTCCTGAAGGAGTTCCTCCACGGTCATGACGGTGTAACAAGAAACCGATAACATACAACTGCTAAATTTCCTCACTGGCAGAAACACGCACATGTGTATAATGCCTGATGCCCTTGAAATTTTACACGAACATCACTTACCAATCTGCGATTTTCACTGAATCATTTACCGTTGACCTTCAATCTCTGTGCACATGTACATGATGTATACAGGCTAGGCCTGCATGTTGAGCAGTGTTGAGTGTATGCGCGCGACAAGAACTCGGCCATGTGGAAAAGCCCGCCCTCAAGAGATCAAACTTGTCATGCACTTCAGTTTTGTCCCCCCCCCGGTTGATCATAGCAATTAGAAAATTACACCTAAAAAGCAACGTATTTATTTCGATTAACCTCGTTTTCAATTTTTGTTTTACCATTCCAGTTGTTATTTTTAATTTTATGCCAATGTCAGTAGAAGGTTTCTGGATGGAGACTTTTCAACAGAAGCTTCATCATCGGGCCGCCGGGGAGCACCGTACCAGGCTGGTTCTTTGTCCAATGTTGTTTTTGATAGGCTTACGTGGCATATTGCGTTTGATCAACAACTCGCCAGATGGCACAAAGTCTGAGGTTAGGTTTTATTCATGTATTCAATTGACATTTATTCCGATACTAAATCTATAAGGCATTCAAGTTGTATGCGTGTTTAAAATTATTGAAGGATAAAGAATAAAAACAGTATGCCGGGCATTTGCGCCACCGAGGCAAAATCAAAAGCCAAGGGCTTGTACTGAAATGCCTTAAAAATTAACAGACGGACAACAGATCACAGAACTAATTGATAAACCCCCGGAGACAAGAAACAAAAAGATGACAGACAGAAAAAGACGGAAATAATTTATACAAGGCTACAACGTGAACAATAGAACAAAAAAGTATATACAAGTTAAGGCCTATGGAATTGACATTGAAACTATGCTAAATAACTAGAGAGGAGATCATTTTTGTATAACATTTTGAAACGGCCCACAGACGATTGTGTTTGAAGGTCGTGCTGATACCGTTCCAAAGTCGTTGCCCCTGAAATCGTGAAGTGTATGGAAGGTATAGGCCTACAGGTTGTTGCGAGACCGTGTGCGATATAGTCATGGACACTGTGGACAGGGGTGAAGAAAGAAGAAAAGGCATTTGGGAGAAGGTTGTGTGTTTAACATAAAAATGGCGGTTTGAAGTTTGTTCAATCAGTGAATGTAAGTGTCTTGAGTCGTGCAAAAAGAGGGGCTATGTGTGCCTGTGGAAGTGATTGAGCGCAAATCCGAATAGCTCTTTTCAGAATGGTTATTAGTAGGTGGAGTTGATTGTAGCTTGAGCGTGTCCAGGCAGTGTTACAATAGTTGTAGTAAGGAAGGATTAGGGTATTATAAAGGGTGAATACTGAGAGTGGAAGGGGAAGGAAAGAACGGAGCTTGGATAAGACACCTGTCTTCCGATTCCAGTTCAACTGATCGTTGAGTGGACCGAAGAATTTTACAGAATGTACCTGGGAAATGGTGAATTGTTATGTAAATGGAGGATTAATAGTCCTCGATCCAGACTTGGGAAAGAACATATATTTGGTTTTAACGGAGCTTAGAGAAAGCCTGTTAGCTTGGAACCATGATAAGGCATTTGCAAGTTCGATATTCAGAGTCCGGACAGGGGAATGCTGGCTGGTGTTTTGAATAGATTATTGCAGTATCATCTGCAAATACAAGAAATGGTTACAGTGTAGAAGAAGAGTGCAGGTCGTTAATTAATATAAATTAGGAAAAGAAGAGGCCCAAGAATTGAGCCCTGGGGAACTCCACATGCAATTACTCTCCGTGAAGAAGATGCACCAGCAACAACTATAAACTGAGACCTATTGGAAAGATAGTCACGAAACCATGCAGGAGCCTGTCCTCTCACACCATAGAATTCTAGTTGAGAGAGAAGGTTGTGATCTATTGTGTCGAAGGCTTTTGAAGGATTAATTCCTGCTGTGAAGAGTTTACTGGATAAAGAGTTAGAAATGATATCCGTTAACTGAACGAGAGCAATGTCGGTAGAGTATTTTGGGCGAAAACCAAACTCGTGATGTTCAAAGAGGATACTGAACTTAAAGAGAAAAGCAGACGATAAGTTGTAGACAAGTTGCTCAAGAATTTTTGAAAAACAGGGAAGAACAGATATAGGGCGATGGTTACCACTTTTAAATATAGGTATGACCCTAGCAACCTTCAGATTGAGGGGAACAGAACCAGTTTGAAGAGAAAGATTGAAGATGTGAGTGAGAGGACGGGATATAAAAGGAACAACATATTTTACAACAGAAACATGAATGTCATCGAAACCACAACTGGTACCACTTTTAGGAGTTTTCACTGTGTCAGTGATTTCGATAGGATATGTGGCAGCGTAAGAAGTATGAAGATAATCAGAAAAATGTTTATTAGTAGGATTTATTTTGCTTGCAAGGAGGGGCCAAGATTGCCTAAATAGGAATTGAAGGAATCAGCAACATCCGCCAGATTAGTGTTACCTTGTTGGCCATCAGTGCAATAGTTTGGGATGTTTGCTTGAGCATCCTTCCCGAGAATTTTGTAAATCTCTCGCCAAGTATTTTTACATTTTTTTTTTTTAAATATGTGTGTTGTAGTTTTTCCTGGCAAGTCAAATGATAGAAGTCATGCGATTGCGATAGCTTCTGTACAGACGCCCATTGGCTGTGGAGGGGTTGCGTAGGTATTGCCACTACAGCCCATCTTTGTGGTTGCAGGAGTTGATAATAGCTTCGGCGATCCAGGGTTGCTTAGTTTGTTTTTTCCTGTTGGGTTTTTTAGAGACAAGAGGGAAACGTCGATTGTACTTTTCTATGAAAAGTATGAAAAGTATCAAAGGCAACACCAGCGTGCTGGCATTCGTAAACTGCAGTCCAGTCGGTGGATTCAAGAAAGATTGCAAAGTGTTATTATTAATGTTTCTTGCACCATAAGTTCTGGAACCAGGGCCAGCGGCCAGGAAAACGAGGGAGTAATTTGAAATAACGGAAGGTGATCAGAAATGTCAGTATTAAAAACTCCTGCTAAAATATTGCCATCGTTGTTGGTTAGTGTGTTATCGATCAGACTGCTCCTATGAGGGGATACGAGTGGGTCTGTTAATGAGAGGATGGAAGCCGTAGGAACAGAAGGCATTTACAAAATCGTCTGAAGGCTGATGGGTCTTATACTTCAAAAGATCCAGGTTATAGTCTCCCATTATGTAGCACAATTTCCTCTCCGTAGCGACAGTATTCAAACAAAAGTAAAAATACTGTTGTTTACTGGTGCCTGCAACAGAGTGAGAACCGGAGATGTTGAGTAGAGAAGCCTTGAGACGACGTCACATCATCGGGTTAAGATTGACGATAGAAGTGGGCTAGTGAACCACCAGCTTCCCTCCACTTACTGGACACCAAAGCGGTACTTCTTGCCGTCTTTGTAGGCAGCTCGACTTAGGTGGACCATTTCCTCTTTTCCTGGAGATCCGTCTTGGTTAGATCATTAACGCAATAATAGGGGTCTGTGATGAGTGCCTGCCGTTGTTGCTGGAGAATCTTGATCTTATCTTGGTAACAATTGAGTTTGATCAAGAGGTGTTTTGGCTTGCCTTTCAGCTTTGGTCCATCACGGTGAGCTCGTTCCGATCCAGTGTCATCCCTGCCATGTTGAACATTTCATGAAAGAGGTTTTTAGCAAGGCAATCTTCACCCTTGTCCTGAGGGAAACCAATAACCCGTCGGTTATTTCGGCGACAGAATCGCTCGCGTTTGTTCAGCTGTTCGGCATTGTTGGCCACGATCATTTCAGCTGCAGCTAATTGTGTACCCAGTCCATCGAAGTGCTTTATCTTGGCTTCCAAGGCATCGATTCAATAGACTAGTTGAAATTTTCCTCGAGCTTTTCAGATTGGTTGCGTAAGTCCACCTGACCATCAAGAATCTTATTCAATGCTTGTCGAGGTTGTCTGAAGATGGTTACATGTATATAATTTATAGAAATAGAATCATCTAATGATCAACTACACTTCCAATCAGATGTCGGGAATCAGGCTGGCATTGTATGGCTTACCTCGCCGCCTTTGCAGTCCGGGTTCAAATTCCGGTTCGGTCCACATGTGGACTAGGTTTCAGTCCCCACCTGATTCCATGGGTTTTACCCAGAATATTCCCCTTGTGTCTTCCTCTCACCTCTATAGAGCTCTAAAAACTGTAATTGCTTCTCATTATCTCCTCTGTACAGGTTCCTTCAGTCTACCTCGGGCTCCGTTGCTGGTGGTAATCCGCCGGCATCAACCTCTTCGATGAAACTGAAACTACAGAGACGACTAATGTTGTAACCCGACGCGAGTTTTCGGCTGTACAAAACCAACTTGCCGTAATCGCTGAGGCCATGCAAACGATGCAGTCAACGGTCATGAGTGACTTCGACAATAAACCGTCTAAACGTCAGAAAACTGACCAGACAGTCTCGTCAAGCGACGAATTAATCCATCGTTCCTCAAAAGGCAGTTGAGCTTCTTCTGCAGACGGGTGAAGAAGAGAAAGGCGAATCTTAAGCTGGGGTACTTGACGCCATTGACCATTGACTACTCTGGGGATGATTCCAGCAAGAAAGTGGATAACAAGTTTGCCACGGTGGTTAACAAGGTACTCCACCATAGACCATCGCATGAGAAAATCACTGAAAAACTTAATAGTTTTAAACGACCATCTAACATAGAGGAACTCGAATGCACTCAGTTAATCCAGAAATCTGGAACACTTTGCAATCAAGAGCCAGATCCACGGACATAAAATCGAAAAGTACATGTATAACGGACAACAGTATAACAGCATCATGCTCATTGTTCAAAGCATGCAAACCCATATGAAAAATGCCAACGGCGACCAAAAGGCTCTCATCACAAAATTGTTTGACTCGCTGGCCGTAATCGGTTACGCAAGATACGAGCTAAACTCCCGTCGCCGGGTTTTCATTAGGCTAAATCTGACCTGAATCACCAGTTTGCCAGCCCTTGTTCAGCACAGACGCCCATAACGCGTCTTCTGTTCGGTGAAAACCTCTCTCAACAATGCAGACATTCAAGGGACGAATAAACTGGGTCAAACATTCGGCAAGCGGACAAGTTCTTTCGCAAAACAGCACCACAGACGGGATGCAAAATCACCCCGCCAATCAGGTCAGACTCGACAGGGCTATTTAAACTAGTCAAGCCCACAGACGTGGCGGAGAAAGAAACCGACGGAGGGGTGACAGTCAACTGTGACCAAGTAAAGCCAAGCAACCTCAGGGTGAGTGAGCACCAATGTGATTTTATCACTCAAAATTCAGTAGACTCGGTAACTTTGTCGCCGAATGGCGCGAAATTACGTCGCACCAATGAGTTCTGGACGCTGTCCAACATTACCACATTGAATTTGCCACACTCCCAGCGCAAACGCATTTACCAAAGAAATATGCTTTTCGGAGCATGAACCTACCATGATAACTGATGAGGTTGCGAAATTGCTCCAAAAGGGGGCTATTGTCGAAACATCCCACAAGAAAGGGAAATTCTTGTCGAACATTTTTCTGAGAGCTAAGAAAGATGGGTCATTGCGCCCCATAATTATTTTGCACAGGCTTAAATGCCTCTGTAGCTTACCACCATTTTAGAATGGAAACGATTCGGAGCACTGCGTATTCCTGCGTTTCACCTGGCAAGTCAAAGTTAACGAGTTTACCTGCCTCTCTTTTGGCTAGCTAGTTCCCCCAGGGTGTTTACAACGGAATGCTATATCAGTGGTAACCTTACCTACAGGGGGCGTTGCCATGGGTTTACAACCCCTAGTCAAGAGACATTTAGCAGGGATATTCAGCCTCAGGCCACCAACTCCACGGTACACTGTACTCGCAAACCTGGGATGAGACTGTTGTTCTGCAGTATCTTCGGTCCCCGGGAATCAATAAAGACCTCCAGATTTTAAGGAGCTCACCATGAAATTGGTTATGCTTATCGCCTTGGTGTCGTGTGATAAGGTTTACGAGTTTACCTGCCTGCCTTCTGGGTGTTTACAAAGGTCATAATCGAAGCCTGTGATACTGTATCTGAGACAAACGGGTCACGAATCATGTGACTACATATATGACTTGTTACCTGTAGGGCGAGCGGCCCAAGATCGTGTCGAGCAATGTGCAAGCCAGAACCACCCTTACTCAACGTCTCGGGTTCTTGATCAATACCAAGAAATCAGTCATGACACCATCCAAAAATATCATTTTTCTTGGTTTCCGTCTTAATTCAGAAAGCATGACCATGCGATTAGCTCTGTGTAAGGTGGAAACACCCTTGCGGCAATCTGACAACTTAGCAATATTGAGTCCCCGAAAATTCGGGATGTTACTAGAATTGTTCGGTCATGAGTGTCCTGTGAACTAGCATTTCCTTATGGACCCTTGTACAGACGTACCATCGAAAACGAGAAAAACAAAATGCTTTCTGTCAGTGGAGGAAAATTTGATGCCAAAATTGTGCTCTCTGACCAAGCCAAGTCTGATTTACCTTGGTGGTCCAGACTCCTACCGTCGTCGATGCATAGGCACACGCCTGATTATACGATAGAAACCGATGCCATGCCTCAAATGAAGGCTGGGATGCTCACTGCACCGGACGTTTGGCAGGGTGCAAATGGTCCTGCCGGGAAGCTGTTCTTCCCATTAATTATCTTGAATTTAAGGCTTGCTTCCTAGCCTTACAACCATTCTTTGTCAGCCAAAATGGAATCATAGTTCATCTACAATCAGACAATGCCACAGCAATAGCCTATCTGAAACACTTTGGAGGCTTGAAATCGGAATTGCTGAATTCGTTCTTTATCTAGGGAAATTTGGTCCTGATACATGCATCACAGCTTTTGGCTTACGGTATCACACCTCCCGGCTTACAAAACACTGTAGCCGATTATGCTTCCCGTCATTTCAAGGATGATTTGGAATGGAAACTTGACTCAGGTGTCTCCCACAATATAATAGACATTTTCCACGCACCCGATATTGATTTATTTGAATCTAGGCTGAACCACCAAGTGAGTTCATACGTATCCTGGCGAACAAATCCAGGCTCAGCGCATGTAGACGCATTTACACTCAAGTGGTCTACTTTTGAATGTTTTTATGCATTCCCACCATTCCCTCCATTTAGCTGACAGAGTATTAATGAAAGTTCAGCTTGAGCAAGCGAGGGCATGGTTGTGGTACCATTGTGGCATACTTAGCCCTGGTTTCCAAAAATGGTGAAATTATTGGTGAGGAAACCATACATTCTACCCTTTCGAACTGACCTGCTTTCGTTCCCATTCTCAGACAGACTTCGTCCCTTACGGGATCGTCTCAGATTGATGGCCTGCCTCTTATCGGGGAAACTCTCCGAGACCAAGGAGTTTCAAGAGACGCTACCGAGGTCATACTCGCCTCTTGGCGAGATTCCACAAAGAAATGTTACAAGTCAGCGTTACAAAAGTGGCTTTAATTCTGTAGTCAGACAAAGACTGATCCTTATTGACCAGATGTAACTTCAGTGGTTAATTTTCTTGCTGCACAATTTCATAAAAGCAGAGAGTACAGCAGTATAAACACCATGCGGAGTGCTAGCAGTGACCTTACCTAGCGGGGGGCGTTGCCATGGGTTCACAACCTCTAGTCGAGAGACTTTTAGCAAGGATACATTCAATCTAAGGCCACCAACTCCACGGTACTCGCAAACCTGGGATGCGACTGTTGTTCTGCAGTATCTGCGGTCCCTGGGATTCAATAAAGACCTCCAGATGAAGGAGCTCACCATGAAATTGGTTATGCTTGTCGCCTTGCTGTCGGGGCAACGCTGTCAGACTTTAGCATTAATTAATTTGGATTATGCTAACGTTACCACTTCTGGTGTCACATTTACAATTGACAAGCTCACTCAGACGAATAAAATAGGGAGCCTCATGTCAGTTTTTGCCTGATATCATACCGATACAGTAAGAGTATTGCTGATAATTCTGTCTGTTCAGATGCCGTTCTTGGCAAGCGATACTAGTGTAAAGGTTACAATACAGGTCACCAATGGAAGTTAAGTAATGCACCTTAATGCGTGTGTGTTCTAACTGGGCTGCTTAAAGTACAGTCGATCTAAGTCCAGGGTTAATTACGACGCTAGTATATTATTTCTTATTTGATACATGCCAGGTGAGAACCGGCAATGTGATTTTTGTATGGCTCATTTATAGATTAGCTGAGCTATATTTAAATGTACATGCACTACTCAGTTTGAGCCAGTGTATTACTTCTGATCTGCATAATCAATGTCATTAAAATTTGAACTTACAATGGAAAATTTGCACTTCGGGTTTAACTTGTATGCATTCCTGATTTTTAAAACCGACTGGAAACTTCAAATGGCATAACCTCTTCTATTCAGTGAAAAAATACCATCAGCCAAATGAATCACAGTCATTCACAGTTATTTTGAGTGATTAATTAATGTCTTTTGGAAACGATGTAATCGATTCTGTTTGCAGTCCAAGAGACTCTAAACATCTAAATTAAGTCCTTCAGAAAAGGTAATGTCTCCGTACAATTATAATTAAATTTCAATAACATTTCATTTCGTTTAATTGGGAAAAAAGAAAATGGTTCAAAAGTTCAAAATGTA